TTTCACCTGTTAGACTCTGAAACACATTGAAACACAGCAAACCTAGCATAAAACCGCCCTTTACGGAGCGCCACGAACGCCAAAGAGAAACGGGGATAAAAAGTGTACATTTAGGCCCGAAGCACTCCCCTACACTTAGTCGTTTGCTTGTTCGCAAAAAACCATTTCACACAAGGTAGTATCTCAACCTATCAAAAGACCTTGGGGACAACTCAAAGGGCACAAAGTGGGGAATCTCAATGGCTATTGACAATTAAGACATCCACCACAAACGACATTCAAGACCACCAAAAACGAACAAACGAAAAGTTCTCACCTTGTTCATGAATCAATGCAAGTCTCAACAAGATCACTCATCAACCACAACTAACTATGCATAACATTCAAGTCCAAGGAATGAACGAGTGGGTAACAAAGGTCCTCACTGAGGTATGATATGACATGCAAAGCAAGAATGAATCACTCACTCTCTTGACCAGTGGGGTCGAGACCATTTGGTGCAAAAAATGTGCACAATCATCAACACTTGGCCCTATCGTCTCTTCACCACGGCGGAAACCTCTAAATGCTAGAGTTCGCGGGATGGTTGTCATCACTAGCTAGTCCGGAGGTCTTAGACACGGGTTCAAATGAATGGAAATTGTCTTGGACATGGGGGAAAAGCCTTTTGGGTGGTGGCAAATGCAGCATGAGGTACTACATCTTTTCCTAAACTCGTAGGTTCTATGGTTTCGACTAAGAACCTTCCCTACACACAACGGCCACTAGTATCGGTCAAAAACCTTACTTCTCCCTTCTAAACTATCACCGATCACGAACCACATTCAAGCACACTTCCTCGGTCTATTCTTGCTATCACATTTCAAACATAGTAGTGAAAGATTTCAACAAAAATGTGGGTGTTTCAATGGATTGAGTGCCAAGAAACCCCTTCTAGAGCATACACTTTGATTTTTGTGGCACTCTTAACTTTATTTACCCCGTTTTATTACCTGTTTTTCGAATCTTTTTCTTTCTACTTCCCTTTTATTTCTTTTCTTTTCTTTTCTTTTGAGGGGGGGGGGGGTACTAGAGAGTAAAACACTTGCCAGATTACATTTAACAACCAATGCTCTCTTTTAAGAACTTACTCCAACACTACTCTTTTCCCTTTAATTCTTAGCAAGAACCGCATCAATTCCTCCTAGGTAGAACCTCAATGGAGCTCCTAAGCACGAGCTCTGAGACACAAGGACGACTCAGATATAGACACGAAGAAAGGATGGGGGTCGTTCTATCAAACACCATTAAGCTTACGAGCGAAAAGCTCCTACAAGAGAACAAGCCCCAAAGTCACAAGGCTCAAAGGGGTTGACTAGGGGATCGAACATTTTGGGACAATCAACATTTGGGCGTGGACTAATCCTATGCCTCCATCATACTCATTAGTGACAAGTATGATGTTACTCGCCATGGTAAGAGGGATCTAAGCACACAAGAAGAAAACGATCAGCTCAAAATTCACATGGCTACCTAGTCACCCAACCATCTATTCCAATTCACAAAACACAATGCATGGCAATTGTAATCAACAAGTAATCGAGTCAAGACATCCATTCATTTTTGCACTCATGACAACTAAACCTTTGAACTATCCTAATGCACATCTCAGTCATCATAATAGGACGCACTCGATCACATGCAACAATTCAAGGTCAATGCCAATAAACACGAGATTCTCCCACAAACCGGCCACTTTGATCATGCAAGCATTGCTTGGAGCCCTTAAAATTATCAAATTTGGGCATACATCAAGGCTCCAAGCATCCAATCACACTCACAAAATCATAATTATAAACTACCCCCCCCCCCCACACACACACACACTTAAGCTCGACATTGCCCTCAATGGCGTAAGATAGGGGTAGAACGATGTTACCACATGGCTTGGTGAGTAAAAGTTGGAAATTTTTTCCAGGGTAGGAGATTGGAGATTCAAGGAGAAGATAAAAACAAACACAAATACATACTCGCTCGAGGCGAGGTTATTACACACAACAACACGATAATAGTAGTAGTTTTTCACACACACACACACACCCATCGAGTTAAAGAAAGAAAGAAAAAAAAAGATAAAATATTTCAGAGTTCCAAGTGGAGAAGTGGGCCGAAAGGAATCGGCTCTGTCACATGTCTCACTCGTCAGCTACCTAATCACAGGTCAAATGTCCCGACTCATCATCTGGAAGCAGGCCCTGGCGATCTATCCTTTCCACGAGGTGTACCCCGGAGGTGGAAGGACCGACTCCTGATGATGATGTTGCTGGTGGTGGTGAGGTGCAGGACGCCGGCGGCGGCCGAGTGCTCGAGTAGGTGGCTGCTCTGGAGGAGGTACCTTTGGATCGAGCTCCATTAGATCAGGGTCGACTCTCGGCCTTAGGGCCGCTTAAGGTCGTAGCCCGTCGAGGTACTCGATCCCTCGCTCTCCAGCCCCAAAACAGTGGCATGAGAAGTTTGACACTCTCGTTCTCTCACATGGCTTTAAGGTGAATGAAAGTGACAAGTGTATTTACTGCAAGTCAGAAAATAACACTTGCACTATCATATGTTTGTATGTAGATGACATGTTGATATTTGGTATAAATATTCACGTGGTCAATGAAGCAAAAGCCATGTTGAAAGAGAGCTTTGAGGTGAAAGATCTGGGAGAAGCAAAGTTAATGCTTGGAATCCAGATAACCAGAACAGCAAATGGTTATTCTCTAGATCAATCTAGCTACATAGAGAAGATCTTGAAGAAATATAACTATTTGGACTGTAAACCTGCGTGTACTCCGTATGATGCTAGTGTAAAGCTGTTTAAGAACACCGGAGATAGTGTAAGACAATCAGAATATGCTAGCATCATTGGCAGTCTCCGTTATGCTGCGGATTACACTCGACCAGACACTGCATATGTCGTGGGATTGCTTGGCAGGTTTAACAGCTGTCCTAGTAGAGAGCATTGGAATGCTATAGAGAGGGTCATGAGATACCTCAAGAGAACAACAAACCTTGGTATACATATCAAAGGTTTCCTGCTGTACTAGAAGGGTATAGTGATGCGGATTGGAATACCCTATCAGATGACTCCAAGGCAACCAGTGGGTATGTTTTTAACATCACTGGTGGAGCTGTGTCTTGGAAGTCAAAGAAACAAACAATCCTAGCTCAATCAACTATGGAATCAGAGATGATAGCACTAGCAACGGTTAGTGAAGAAGCAAGTTGGTTGAGAGGATTGTTGTCAGAGATTCCCATATGGGAAAGGCCGGTCCCTCCGGTATTGATCCATTGTGATAGTACCGCAGCTATCGCTAAAGTTGAGAACCAGTTCTATAATGGAAAGAAACGACATATTCATCGTAAGCACAGTACTGTAAGAGAACTCCTAATGATAGGAGCAGTGAGGGTGGATCATATAAGATCCGAACAGAATCTAGCTGATCCTTTGACGAAAGGATTACCTAGAGAGAAAGTCCAGAATACCGCCAAGGGTATGGGACTTATGCCTACCGAACCACAGACTACAAGTGATGGTAACCCGACCCAATAGACTGGAGATCCCAGGAAATGGGTTCAATGGGTAATAACAAGTCATGAGTAGTATGCGAAAAGTTCATGCATAGTGAAGCATGAATCCCAAAGCAATGGAGGATGAGTTAATAACTCTTAATGAGACCTATACCCTATGTGGGGTAGAGTACTTTACTTTGGGGGTACTTCTGATAGACTCACCTATGTGAATGTGGGAGTGGGGCCGCTCCCTATGGAACTTTGGAGGCACAAAGTTGCTAGAGCGTTCACTAAACCAGGATAATGTGCATGGCCATAAACGCACGGGCTAAGAAGAGAACACAACTCAATGAAAAGATCCGGTATGCTACACTGTCTGAGATAGGGTTCAAGACTACGAGTCACCCTTATGAAATCGGAAGTGTAACCACTACGCTAAGGTTCAAATCTTCGCGATACCTTAGCTTATGCCCGATCTTATGGAACTGTTAGTGCTCAGAGATAGTTTCAAAACTATTCAAGTGGGGGATTGTTGAGAAATGTGAATAGTTTGTAAAAACTAAAGGAAAGTCCTTGGAAAAGGTAAGTGAAGTTAATTCGGATGAATTCTCCGTATTGAAGGAAACGTTTCTTCAATCAGAATTAATTGACCAAATTAACGGAAAGTTCAATCAATTGGATTGATTTTCCATATTGAAGGAATCTTTCATGATCAGATCAATTGCCCATACTAACGGAAAGTTTCAATCAATCGGATTGATTTCTGGTATTAAAGGAAACTTTTATCAATTGGGTTAATTGTCTCCATTAAAGAAAGGTCTAATCAGGAGTTATTACTCTTGATTTCCTTCCTTAAGAAGATTCTCAAATCCTCCACCAAGAGGGGAAGGCTGAAGGTCTCATCCAATATAAATAGATGAGTTGCCTAACCCTAAAAGGCACAACAACGAGCATAAACACAATATATAGAGTGTTCAGAGAACTCGGGTTTATGCACAAAACCACGAGTATTGAGAGGAGCTGTTTTATCCTGGAGACGACCGGTTGATAGTCTGCCGTGCGCATCGAGGGCAGTGCCGCGAACGTCTTAAAGAGAGCGACCTAGTCCGCGACTCAGCTCCAGATTCGGTAACCTTGTTCCTTGTTGTTGTTCTGTTGTTAACACTCGATGGTCAAAACCTCTTCCAACCCCTTTTGTCGGCGTAAACAGAGTGTTGAAATTGCAAAGATGGCTACTCTGTTCTTGATTCCTCCAAGGATTGGTTCGACGTATCATCCAGTTTGGTCCCATGGTAAATGAGTTTTTGTGTAATATTATGCTGCCACCTTGACTCTGTGCCATGCTCTCAAAGGCATGAGGCAATCATATAGTATATATAACCCATTGTAGATTCATTCATTCCATGTATCACTCGAAAAAAGAAGCATCCTTTCACGGTGACATGAAATGGAGAACAAATTAGTACAACAACGTTGAAATACACAGCTTTTGAATCATTGTGATATTGGATTTTGCCAGTTTCTGTGTACGTAGGTTTGAGCATACATCACTCCAAGTACCATGTCAATGTATACCGAAATCTATCCGTATAAGACTAAGAGTACTTGAAAAGATGTGAGTAGCAGGGGTGTGGCGGGTTGGGTCTCTTCTGCTTGATCATATCTTTCAGTACTCAGCCTTTACATCGATTACTTAATCATATCTCTCCTAATTAGCATGAAATCTTGCTTTCTGATGAGTTGGTTACTAAGCAAGCGAAAGCTTTGTGCTAATGACAACATCGTGCACGTCTCCACAGTGACTTCCGTCCGTGCCTAATTTCAGTTGTTGCAGGTCAGCTTCAGGCATCCTTTCTTTCTCCTTGGACATCCCCATGGCTCCCAGCTGAGAAACCAGAAAATTGCACTGGTTGTCATATAGTCCAAGCCCAACGGGCTTTGGGGCTATTTAAGCAGTAGAAGAAGTTTCTTACCACAAGCCCAACTCTATTAGTTTTCAAATCCCCAGGATTTGTACTGCTAATCCGGAGTTTCCCCCTGTGATTACATTGATTAAATGAAAACGCTAACATAGAGTTTGGTACTAAATGAATTGAGAATTCATTTTTTTTTTAAATGAATTACTGTGTAGAATTCATTGTGAAATGAATTCCTGTGTTTGATAGTCATATTCAATCTTTAGAAATAAATGAATTGAATTCTCAAACCATGTTTGATATGTGTTTAGAATTGAATTAAATTAAATGTTTCTCCAACTACACCCTTATTAATTTTCGGAAAAAAACTATATTCATTGAAAATTCATCTTCTAAAAAACGTCATTGGTCCCATACGTAGAATATCAAAAGTGTTCTTGTGTGTTTATATTCTATTAATTAGTTCTTTTCTAATATTTTGTGGATGAACCCTTTAATCTAGTTGTGCCTTCTCAAAGTACTGATACAATCGAAGCAAAAATATAAAATAACTAGTATATGCTACTAGCGTCGCAATCAAATTATTGGTGACGTTTCTCATGCTGCATCAATTGTCGCCAAATAATATGTAGATTAATTTCATTAATAAATGAGGATAATTGTGTCATTATATTATAATTAGTAAATACTTGTGGAATTCATATGCAAATTCCATCTCAATTCCTCGAAATTGCTATAACTAGTTCCAATTCCGTAGAATTCAAAATTTAGAATTGTAAATGAATTCTTTTAAATTCCAAACACAAAAAGATTTCATTTCAAAATGAATTTCTCAAAACTTATGGAATTCATTTATACCAAACGGTATGTAAGAGTGGATTTGGATAAGTGTGATTCATACACATGTATTTGAAGTTATAAATTTGAAATGCTTGTATAATTCAAAATAAATTATTTGAATATTCATTTGCAATTTTTTTGTATTTCTGATCATATGCCTTATGTTTTATAATTTGAAGTTATTTGGCCAAACATTACAATTTGTGAAAAATTTAGTATCCAACTTTATATTTTCTTAAAATTTAGTACATAAACTTTAAGTTTTGTTCAAACATGACCATTAATCCAAATCAAACACATTTGAAATTGACAAGCAATACGCTAGATATATATTTGAAGTTTGCCCTATGTATTTTGACAAATAAAAATATCATATATGATTAGTAACCAAACAAATCATTTATTATTTGAAATTCCAAAATTCACATAACAAATTGATCAAATTCTTCTTTCCCGCAACCTAAGCTATTTAATGATTGGTTAATGGAATTTGTTAGCAATTCTTGGCGGTGAAATTATTTCCAAGGTACGTACCTGGGAATGAAGTTTGAGGTGCAACGGAGGATCTTTTGGGAATAGTAGTGAAGAAGAGCTTGCTGCTGACCGTGATGAGTAGTACTACTGCTACTAGTACTACTGTATTGGTGATTAAGACTCGTTGAGCTAGGCCTAGAATTGGCTGCGCTTTGGTGGCTTCCGTGGATTTGGTTGAACGCTCCACGCCGTAGCACTATTGCTCATTAATTAATTAATTTGCACACAATATATTATATATAGATCAATTAGCACATGGCCATAGATTGATTTCTATTCTCAGCTCTAAGTAGCTAGGTTGTTTAATTTACATGGGAAGTGGGAACCTCACCTTTCCCCTTCTTATCAAGTTTCTTGCTGCGGTACATCTGCCATGCGTAAACAGAATTTCATCATTAATTAATTAGCTCGAAATCATATATATATATTTCTTAATTATTTGGGTTGGAGGAACCCTAAATCAATTAAAGCTAAGCATAAAGTTATTAGCACACACCTGCAAGTGGCTCTTGACGTGGGATATGCTGAGTCCTCTCACATTCATTATCTGAAGAACCGACTTTGGAGTTGCTCCTGTATGTATATATATAGGGTCTTCATTATTATTATTATAATATTAATCCCAAAAATGCGTGCATACATATGACAGACAAAAAAGACGTAGAAAAACATACTCTCTTGGCCGCCGAGCCTCTCAACTGCATGCACAAACGAGAGATGAAGATCGGGCGTCCATCTTAGCCTCGGCATTTTCGACCTAACGTATTGCCTCACTCTATTGTTCCTCCGGCCACCGCCACCTCCTTGTGTAGATTGTTCTGATGAGCTGCTGCTACCACCACTTCTGCCTTCCGGTGCTTTCTTCGCCTCCTGGCTGCTGCTGGCCGCTGCTTCATTCAAGTCTAAGGACCAACCTTTATCACTACTGCCCTCCAACTCTTCTCTCGTCATTGCTTCAACCAAGGCCTTCGGGCAATTGCCTTTACTGCATAAATAGACAAAACGGTGCGAAATTTGGTAATTATGGAGCAGCGTAGCTGCTACTTCTTCCTTTATTATTGGTGAAAAGTGCTGTGGTAACACGTTTAATTAATTAGGGCATAATAATAGTTTGAAACTGTACATATAATTGCCCACCTGTATACTATACATACACAACTGTAAAAGCATGTGATCGGTAGTTCGGTACTAATAGCCTTAAGTTTACTGTTATTTTTCACCAGAGGAAAAGGAGATCGAGATGAGTTATGTCTTCACGCGTATGGAAACCTGCTACACATGCATAATGTACATCTATATTACCCCTAATTATATATTCCTTTTGTTTGCCCTAATTAATCATTTGCATGCTATTGTTGTTCTTATATGAATCTTATGTTCAATATTATTAATTAATATTGTCCTGACATTTGTTCATCCTAGACCTAGATATATAAATAGATTACAAAATATGAACAACATGAAAGAAGCTTTAGTATTTCTCACCGATTAATATCTAGAAGCAAAGAGACTCCTGTCTCACTGAGAGATAAATTTTTTCTGTCTCCGCATTTTATTTTGATTAAAATCCTAAGAATTTCTTGTTTGATTTCGGCAATCAGGAAATAATAAGTGGTTGACAAGATCATGTGATTGGTCAGTTAAATTTGGTCTACGGTACCCTATATGGTACCGTAGAACTTCCCATATATATATATATATATATATATATAAATAATTTATGAGTGAATTAATTATTAACCATGCATAAACAATTTCAAATTCATATCATCCATCACAAAAAAATTCTAGCAAAACATCCAAAATATGTCACATTCATAATTTTTATTTCAAATTCAAGTTAGTAACTAGGGTGACAATTCATAGTGAACCAAATAAATCCGACAAGAAGACTGCAAAATGAAAAAAAGGAAGCATAAATAAATTTCTTGATTAAGGCTGGATGGTCTTAGTTTACGGTAAAGTATTTTTCGTTTAATATTTTGTTGTTAAAATAGTGAACCGAACCACTGGATCAGTTAAGCTGGGGTGTTCATCTGGTTTCATGTTAACGGCTAAAAATTGTTTGGTCCATCTAGAACCCTCCAATCAAATGAACTGAACTGATATTGTAATTGATTCAGTGGTTCTACTGGCCCAACCATTGATCTCATTCAATTCTATAACAATGGTATTAGTTGTAAAATAATTTTTATTGTGGATTTACACTAACAATTTAATATTAACAACAGAGAAGCTAAAGGTCTGAGCAAGGGTTAAAATATAAATTTAAAGAATTTAAATTGTGGTAATTAGGGAGTGAGCTAAAACATTACTAAGTACTTTATTTTTAAAACTTGTTACAATTTGTACATGTACTCAGGAGCGTAGCCAAAATTTCATCTAAAATGGATCCACTTGAAAAAAACATACATGATAAACTTACTTTTGTTAACTTGTTTAATCATTCATTATACAATCTTAATTAGTAAGATATCAGTCCCGCTCCAACTACCACGGTTCATCTTTTTTGAGTTAATATTTTAGTTTTCATTCGAATTTCTAGCTCCGTCATTATATTTAATAATATAACTTAATTTTATTAACACACGGTAAAAATATGTTAAAAGTACAAAATATTAAAAAAAACAAAAGTATTTAATATTATTTTAAACCATAGAAAACAAAAGTATGTTGCTTGTTCCCGTACCCTAGTAATCGGGAAAGCCAAAGACTGACTATAGCCAGTACGAAATGGATGGCAACGGTACAGCCACGACACTACAGAATTCTCCACTCTGACCACGTTATAACTTTTACAAAAGTAGTTTATGCGGTAGCTTTTAGCGAAATATTATATAAAAGCAATTGAGTGTCTCGCTGATGAACTTCTAGAAATACTTTTTAATATGAAAGGTAATGTAAAATTAGTGAGAAGTATTTCTAATTATAATATGAATAGTAAGCCAAAATTAACTTGTTGGAGTTCTTTTATATTAGATAATATAATTTTATACTTTATTTTAGTTTTGAATGATATACATAAAAAGGAAAGTATGTTTTTATAAAAAAAAAAACAAAAAGCTAAGTATAATCTTATATTTTCTAAAAAAAATTTCACAAAAATTTTAAATCGAAACTTCAGCTTTTATATTATAAAAACATTTTTTAGGTTTTCAAAAGTCGATTCATAGAGGTGTTGAAGCCGACTTCAACTTTTGAAGCATTAAAGCCCTTCTAAAAGTCATGGCAAACATAAGTTGTTATAAGTTTTCGTGAAATATTTTATTGATTAATAGATGAATGAAGCATCTATTATTCTCTGTCCTTTCTGTAGAAATGGCGATAATTAAATTGATAAAAAAGAAACAAAGGCTGAAAGTCTTGCTAAAAACCAGAAAAGCAACACAGACTTAATTCATAAGAGATGTGAGTCTGCCAAGAACAAGAGCAAAAAAAAAAAAAAAAAAAAAAGAAGAAGGAAAGGACAAGAGGACAAAGGAAACTAAACAAAGAGCATGTTAGGATAGCTGCATCCCTATTCACTACTACAATCCTAGCAGCAATTGCGAGAATACGTACGAGCATTTCATAATTATTCAAGCAGGGGATTCCTAATATTTTCTCTCCAGTTTTATTTTAATAAGTTAAACTGGAATATAAAATACTGCATCTCCTACAATTTAAAAGGGAAGATTAGATGAGTACAGATCAGTAAGACAAAGAAAAGAAAAGTACTAGAGCGAGAAAGAAATGAAACAGAAAAGGAAGGGAAGAACGAGGAACAAGCTTTCTATGTAACTTACAGTTGAAGAGGTTGCGCTGAAACGAGATGATGATGAACCCCAAAAGGAACAAGCTAGCTTCTATATATATATGTATGGAGGAGGATGAACAAAAGCCCTAAACAAATTCCATCGAGTGATCACTATAGTAATATTAATATATATATATATATCCAACGGAATGGATGGGGGGATGGGAGCTGCAAAATTGAAGCTAGCTGCTAGCTAAATCCGTACGTAGATATGAACCCTGAAAAAGTTTGGTGTTGACTTCATATATAGCATGTGCTGAGATGGATAGAATATTATTATTATGCTTTTTAAGTGCCTAATTCTGGAGAATACTGGTGACTATCAAGTTTGGCACAGAGCTGTGGAGGAAAGGTGGCAGACTTTGACGACCATGGATCTACATATTTAAAAGTAATATATGTTTACGGGGGGCTTCAGTCTTCCATCCAGGCTAGCAAGCTACGTACAGCGGCGAGGAGCAGATGTGAAAGAAAGAATGGAATAAATTTTGCTTTTGATTATGTGGTTGGAGTTGGGATGTATATATATGTGTTGTTTGTTTAATGGCTACAGCTAGAAGAATTGAATGAAGCCGAGAGAGAGAGAGATCGAGCGAGCGAGACTGAGGAATATCTGTGCCCTTTCATCTGTCAGCAATCAATCATCGTCTTCTTTTCTTATAATTATTGCTCTATAATATTTTTCTCCTGAATATGGTCTATAATTTATTATGTGTTTGTGGTTTCTGGTCGTAGCAATTATATGTCAATAATTTCTGACATTATGGAAAACAGATGCCACTGTTGGCAGATCGATCGAGAATTATACGTAGCTACCCTATACATACATATATAGCTATTTTCTTTAATTCCTTTGCCACCTCTCGCGATTATCCTTTGTTTGACCCATGTTTAATTTGTTGACCGATTATCAGCAATCTTTGTTAATAAACATGATACTGAAGAAGTACCTAATCCATGCATAACATAATATGGCTTGGATTAGGGTACAAATTACCCATTAGTTTTGTAGTACTATGAAGCTTATAGATCTAATGGTTGTAAGTTGGGGATGAGAGATCTAATAGGAAAAAAGGAGACATGTCCGATATCGGAGTGGGCTGGCGTGGATTTCGAAATACTTTCGAAATATTATATAAAAATTCAAAGGACAATTGCACATTCGTTTTACATCGGATTTAAAAAATATTACGGAGAAAAACTAGATTTTTGCCCTTTACAAGATGATATCTATTTTCATATTTTTGGAGCAAAAAAAATTTCCGTTCATATCAATTCACATCATATAAGTTCATATCAAGTTTATGTCATTCATATCAAGATCGAATCAGCTCTATATCATTCATATCAATATTATAATTTCATATCAGTTCATATCTGTTGATATGATAGTGATAATACTATAACCGACACGTGTTTTGAATAGTTCATTTTTCTTTGCTCAAAATATCGCAAAATGGATATAAATGTGTAGATCATAATTAATGAGTTCTTTCTATGTAGCTTTTTCCAAAATTCAGAGTTAAAACGAAGTCTATAGGACCCTATTAAGAAACATAAGAGAGTAGAAAAAAAATCCTCTTTCTCCTGGATCAGTATCTGAGCTTGAGAAAAAATAAATTCCTGGGATGGCGGAATTACCAATTCGCTCATCTTCTTTGTAGGATTCAGAGATGCATTGTATAAGGTTATAAACTATATTATCTTGAATCAACTTCGCATAAGCATTTGTTTTGCTTATTTTATTGAGAAACAGAAGCATTTGTATTTTTTCTTTTCTTTTTGCCATGAAGAACCATTAGCATTACTTATACAGCTTGTGATCAAGTAGAAAGATGAATGTTGGGTTGTTTTCTTCTTCCTCTTAACAAGTTTCGGTCTTGCTTTTGCATATTGTATATTAGCAATGAGGGCCACTTTTTTCATTGTAAATTCCAACATCAATTTCTGCTCACCTAAACTTTGGACTTTCTGCCTCTCTTTTCGTATTTAGATGGATAGTGTTCATTTGTGTATACTTTTCTTCATACCTCTGCTTCTTCACTTCGTTGCTTTGACTTTGGTGCTACAGGCACAATTCTAGTGCCGGCATTTTTTCGACCGTTGGATCTGTTCCTATTTAATGAGGATCATTATTAACAGCCATCACTTAATCATATTCAATTGAACCTATTATATTTGGTTGAACTTATTTTATATGCAAATTCTTTATTATAATTATTTTTTACTACTCAAGGGAAACAAAAATTATATTTGTCTATTATTGTTGCGTTAGATCGATAGCAAATAACTAAAAATTATATATTTATTTCATCTTCTTCATTATAAGTATGATGGGTCTTTATCGCGGCCTGGCATGGGTGAATTACTATGGCAACGAAGCCGGTTGACACAGTTTTTCTCTCGAATAATTTTAATGAGTTATATTGCTTTCGTTTTAACCCGAAACTTAATTTGTTGTATTGAAAAAATATTACTAATCATGCTCTTCCAAATAAAATTCATTTTCATATATTTTTAGAATAAAAAATTGAGGCATGTATACCATTTGTTATAGGAAGCGAGCATATCAAACTATGGACTAGTAAAATAACCAAATCATTTACAACAGCAGTTCGTTTCATTTGCTTGGACGTTCACTAATGGACATAATGATTTTTAGTGGGTTGACATGAAAACAAATAAACCACCCTAGCTTGACTGCTTTATTGTGTCAACCAAGATTAAAGCATAAAAAACAATAAAGGATTTACGTGATATCCTCAACGAGTACCGTTGAGACTAATCCACGAAGAGGACCAACCTCTCAGAGTCAATCTTATAATCTCGGTAGAGTAGAGTCCGTAAGTACATCAGGGGCGGCACTCAACATATATACATGGCTGCCCTAATCCGACTAAGGCTCTAAACGTAATTAAGTGAAAATACTTAATATTTACATATTGCTACATAAACTTTTAACTTCTAACATCCTCCCTCAAATTGATGGGTGCTTATGCAACATTAATTTGAATGTTAGAAACCAGTGACAAGATGTAGCAATAACCTTAGTCAAGAGATCAGTAGTCTGATCTTCAGAAATGATGTACGATAACACAAGACGCCCTTCATCAACTAGCTGACAAATATAGTGTACATGAACCTCAATGTGCTTTGTACGATCATGGAGAACCGGATTGGTAGAAATCTTAATAGCACTCGTATTATCTGCATAAAGCCTCATAGGCGTTGCACAGACCACACCCAGCTCAACAAGAAGACGATGAAGCCAAACTAGTTTAGAGGTTACCTCAGACATCGAGCGATACTCTGCCTCTATAGATGATTTAGAGACGCGCTCCTGCTTCTTACACCGCCATGAAATAAAAGATGTGCCAATCTTGACACACCAACCAGAAGTAGAGCGCCGTGTATCTAAATATCTTGCGAAGTCTGCATGAACGCAGGCTTCAAGGACCGAGTCACCTACTGAAGGAAAGAAGAGGCCCACATCCTGAGTACCCCCAGAGGTCGCACAGGATACGCATAACAACAATCAGATGAGACGAGCGCGGAGCATCCATGAACTGACCCACCACCTGTACGGCGTAAGCAATATCCAGACGTGTATGAGTCAGGTAAATCAAACTCCCAACAATACTTCGATACATAGATCCATCATCCAAAAGATCACCATCATCACTGCAGAGCTTCAGGTTTTGCTCCATAGGGGGAGCACACGGCTGACAAGTATCCATCTACGGAGTCTCCAGGAGGTCCACAATATATTTCTGTTGAGAAATTAACAAGCCAGCTGACGAGCGGTGTACCTCTAATCCCAAAAAATAGGATAAGTCACCCATTTACTTTAGATTGAACGCATCCCGAAGAACATGTATAAGGGACTAAATGCCGAGACTATCATCCCCACTAATCACCATGTCGTCGACATAGGTAACAAAACTGCCAACCCACAAGATGACTACCGAAGAAATAAGGACGGATCACTGTCGTTTGTACCAAACCAACTTGTAAGATCGTGCTATGAAATTTCTCAAACCATGCATGCGGGGCCTATTTCAACCCATAGAGAGAACGATTCCGAAGAAAAACTTTGGACTTATCACCGTTGTTGTAGCCAGGAGGATACTCCATATAAATAGTCTCTTTTAAATCACCATGTAGGAAGGCATTTTTTACATCCAGGGGGCTGTCCCTTGTTGGGCGCAAGGAGCGCTGAGGTGGAGGAGAGCCAACACCCGAGGACGAGGAAGAATATCTAATTTTAGAGGAGCTCGATGAGGCCGAGGAGAATGAGTGCCAAGGTGACATGGAGGAGGAGGAAGATGAACCAGACGAAGAAGAGAAAATACTGAGGTTCATCGACATTGATCCTAGACCTGAGGTCGAAGGACCTCCATCAAAAGGTGAAGATGAAAGATCGAAGAATGACAGTTGAGGCCGAATAAAGTCCAAGTCCGCACGTGTAGAAGAATCCTGAACAGGATAGTATGACAGATGCTCCAAAAGACCACATGACATGATATGCGGATCTGCCGATGGACCACATCGTAACAGACATAGCCTTTGTGTTTATCACTATAACCCACAAAGACGCATCAAACTGCTTTGGGTGAGAGCTTATGCCGCTCCCGTCGGGGAAGGAGGATGATCATTGTCGAAAACATATTGATTTCGTGTGCTTAATGTGATTATTACATGATATGTTAGACATATAATGCTTGTTTAAGGACAGCTGATTCTGTAATGGTTATAAGACCATTACCACCTTGTGTTAGAATTCTGATATATTTTAGGTGGAGAAACAAGAAGCGATTGATGCGCAAGCAAAATAACACAAGTAGTCCGATCAATGGTCAATCCCAAACCAAACTGGCTTGAACAAGCTACCTTTGCCTAGAAAAAGTAGCAGCAGCCATAAAATTAATAATGGGCTTGCGACCCATTCATTGGAGTTAATCGGCAGCGGCGTATATATTTGGACCGGAAGCTACATATAAAAGGGGAAGTTGGGCCGAGAATCAAAGGAAGGGGGATTGGAGGGGGCATTCTGTGAAATTACTTGGACCAGGCCATTCTGGAAAATAAAACTTCCCATCTGCTTTGTCCTTGAAAGGAAAGGAAATTGAAGTTGGATCGGGAGAGATTTACGGGAGAACAGAAGGAGGGCGGACACGGAATTGCGAGGGAAAAAAAAGAACAGCAGGCGATTGGATTCGGCGAAGAGCAGCATCGGGGGTTGAGTTCTCCAAGGCGGTTTGAGCTGACTTTAACTATAGCGATTATTTTGGTTGGATTTTCTAGACCGAACTAGTTGTTTATTGTTGATTTAGAACATGATGATCGATACTTTATCGGTTTATCTTAGTTTCGTCATGAACTAAACCCCAATTTCTTGGGGAAACACCATAGGATGTAGCTATTTCTATATTTGATGGATTGATTCATATTTCTCTTCTTCCAATCTCTATTGCATGAAATTGCTTAATGCTTTGTGTTGACTGGCCACCAATACATTGATTTGTAGTTAATTAGGTTATTAGCGACAGTGAAACCCTAATAACTGAACCTATTTCATGTGACATAGTAACTTATCGAAGCGACAGTGGATTAAATAAGGTACTATGCTGTCTTGATTGGGATATCGGTCTTCAGGCTGAACAATTAAGTCATTGAGCTACGACAGTAGGATTTGATTTAATTGTTTAGTACGTAGTAATTCCCGACAAGGATAGCTAGCACAATAGTGATATCCTGGCTGTAGAGAATTGGATTAAAGTGATTAGAATATGTGAATTAATTTTGATATGATAGGTAGTGAGTCCCGGTGTTTCTCCCAGAGCTTTCTCCAGTGAATTTTTCCCGACCATTTTAATTTGCTTGATTTGTTTAATTATTTTGCTATTAATTAATAATTTCATCAACCAAACCATTTTCACCTATAGTTTGCTCCATAGAATCGGTAAATCATAAGGTTGTACCAGTCCCCGAGACACGATACCCGGACTTTTCGGATTACTACGAGATAGGATTAAGGCATATACGCTTTTGCCTATCAAGTTTTTGGCGCCGTTGCCGGGGACTGCCATACCTTATTTTTGTTGATTTTGTGAGTGAACTATTTTGATCTGTGTTCTAGTGTGCAAGTGAATTTCAGGTTTATCCTCCTTGTGCATGCCTAGGAGGACGACCGATGATTTACTGCCACTAGACCCGGAGATCGAGAAGACCTGTCGACAGAACAGGAAGCAGGTCAAGTTAGGGAAGCAGCCAACCACAACTCCTAGGCCTTCCCTAACCCATAATCGTCAACAGAGAGGGCGGGATTCATCACCTGTCATCCCTACACCACCTACACCACCACCACCGCGCGACATCGAGCCTGTCATCATGGCAGACCAGGATCGTTCGATCAGGGCTCGCTTAAATCGAAGAACTGGAGCCCGAGCTTCATGTGTTGTCATTCCGGCTGGGGATGCAATCATGGAGATTAACCCAGCATTCATCAACATGATCACCAATGGGTATACTTTCTCTAGGGCTAGCAGTGAGGATCCTCACGAGCATCTTCGCCGGTTTGCGAGCATATGTGATACGATGAAGAGCCCTACAGTGTCTGATGATGCAATTTGCCTACGTATGTTCTCGTTCTCTCTGATAGGGAATGCATCATACTGGTTCCAGAACTTGACACCTTGTTCCATCACGACCTGGGCTCAACTTGAGAAGGCCTTTCTGGATAAGTACTTCCCACCTGCCTTGGCAATGAAGAGGCAAGAAGAGATTGTTACTTTTAAGCAGGCAAATGATGAGAGTCTGACTGAGGCATGGGAGCGCTACAAGGGGCTTTTGATAAGATGCCCATGCCACGGTCTAGAAGATTGGAACATGATTATTATTTTCTTTAATGGAATCAGAAGGGAGTTTCAGGATGCCCTAAATAATGCTTCTCGAAATGGTTTCACAAGGATGGAGGCACCTGCAGCATATGAACTGGCATAGAAGATCTATTCAGAAGCCACTGAATTGGGTAGTGAGACCAATATTCGAAGAAGAGGAGGCTTGCAAGAGGTTCACAGAGCTACAATTCTAGAAGCCAAGATTGATGCCAAGTTAGATTCTAAGTTCGATGCACTCGAACGAAGGCTGGCCAAGATTGCTCTAGGTAGACAAGAGGATGTTACTTTATGTGAACTTTGCGATGGTGCTCATCATAGGGATATGTGTCCACTGGGAGCTGCTCAGTTGGAAGATGTCCAATATATCAATAATCCGTGAAGTCAAGGCCAGGGTGGTATGTATTCAAATACATACAACCCTCAATGGAGACATCACCCCAATATGTCATGGTCAAACAATAATCCAGCTAGTGTTCAAAACATCCCACCTCTTGGTTTTCAACAGCAGCAGCCTCAACCAGAGAAGAAGGCCCAGCTGGAGGAGTTGATTTTGGCTCATATGCAGAAAACAGACAATAATTTCAAGGGTCTTGATCAATTTGTCACTCAACAGCTAGCCATCAACAATAATATGCAATCATCTATGCTAGCTATGGAGAGGCAAATAGGCCAGATGGCTCAAACTTTGGCAGATATTCAAGGTAGGATTCCTGGGACTTTACCAGCAAATACTGAGAGAAATCCAAAGGATGCCATGGTTGTAGCAGTCACATTGAGGAGTGGGAAGGAGTTGGAGGATCCAAAGAGCAAGAAAAATCCGGTAGAAAAGGAGGGCAAAACAGCTGCAGAGGAAGAAAGTGCAAAAGCTGAAAAATCTGACTTACACAGGCAAACTGCATGCAATCTGCCTGTGCATGAGCATTCTTACCAGTAGGATGCCATATTGATTAATCACAAAGCAAATACGAGCGTAGCATACTCGTTATGTTAAATACAAATTAAGTGCCACACACATACATTCTCACTCTCGTCTCCCAACTCCCTAAGTCTCAATTCCTCGGGAAGACGCAAATCAAAGCCTACATGGGGAAGGGGAGCCTGACGTTGCACCTGCCGGGAATGCCGCCGGAGATGCTGTAGTTGATACCTGGGAGACTACCGGCAATGGTTTTCAAACAGTGTCAATCCTCTCGCCTTGCCGGAGTGGAGCTCGCGGCACCATTAAGGGACCTAACTCCGCCGCAGCAGGTTGCCACTAGGGGGCCCTTCCCGTGATGTAATTTAAGCACGGTGCCACGCTGGACGCCACCAGGCCACATGTCACGACCCCGTTGGCGGCCGGCTGCCGACTCGCCACCATCACCACCATCAGCGCCACGGGCGCAAACCTGAAGCTTAGTAGCGGCCATGATACCACGTTGTAATTCTTTTCTATCGATGATGGAGTGTGCATTTTGAAAGCTAAGTGGGTGTGGTTTTTATAGGCTCTATGGATGTGAATTGTTGGGGAGTTAGGCTGAAGTATTAAATTAAGTGAAATGAATTGTCTTGTGGGAGATGTGTAGTGTTATGTTCATCTACCGATGTGTATATATGTACCAACGGAAGTTGATTGGAGTAGTAGTACTCCATATATATGTGGTGGTTTCAAAGTTATCTGTACTAAAGGAAAGTAGTCACATTCAGGGCCGTCCCATGATAATCAGAGGCCCTGTTCGAAAATTTAAAATGTGGCCCCAAAACATTTTTCCATAATTTTTTATAAATAAAAATTATTAAATAATAATAAAAATTACAAAATTCCAGAAAATGATTGGAAAATACTAATATTATCTACGCTTAGAAATTAACTTTTTCAAATTTTTGGGTTGACATAATTAAAAATAATAACCATAGATTGATGATTCCAAATTTTCAATTAATATAAGTTCCCTACAAAAGTAAAAGAAAAAATATTAGAACTTAAAAGAAGTTGATTAGGAGCTTGAATAGTAGGGATGAACATTGATTAGAGTTAATTAGAATTGGGTGTGTACAATTCATATTTAGGCGTTGGATATTTTTGGGAAGTTGAGAATTTTGGGAAAAGAGAAGAAGATTAAATACCTAACTATTAGTTTTGATTCAACAAACAAGCTGCAGCTTAGTGGTTGCGTCTTATTTTAATGAAAAGGATAGGTTCACTGTTCGATTCAGCTTTGTACTTTGGGTTTTTGTGTGGGTGTGGGCCTCGCCATCCCAAGGGGTTCGAGTGTGGGCCTCGCCATCCCAACGGGGCCTCCGGACTAAGGGTTTATGTGGGGTCTTGCGAGCCCAAGGTAGCATCCATACTCTATGGATTCTGTGGGCCTCCAGACTTAATTGATTATGAGGCCCCAATAAAAATGAGGCCCTGTGTTGTGGGTCTGACCAGCACAGGGCCTGGGCCGGGCATGATCACATTGCATTTAGGCCAAAACCCTCAACACTGCTTTAAGGATGACGCAGCACACTTCAAGAAGTGAAAATTCAGAACAGAAGTATAGAGGCTGGTTAGCAAAATACGGTACGGGAAAGTTACATAAAAAATACGTACGAGTATTATACTTCATCTCTAAGCTAAAGTTACGTTTAATAGTACATTAATAGTCATAAATATATAAAATTAATCATTTTAAAAATAAATAAATGTATAAATAATAGTAAAGTTAACAATTTAATTCGTAAAATACGAATAGTAAACGTGTTCTACGGGTTTTATACGTGTTTAGTACGGGAGCCATTAAATGAAAGGGGAAAATTGAAACGGCTTGACAATAATACGAATACGAAAGTTTTAAATGAATAAAATACGTACAGGTACATATACGTGTATTAAACGGAGTATTTACTAACTATGTAGAGGCAAGGTATCAGTTACGCCACGTACATTTTGGTTGATTATTTGATATGTTAGGAACAAGTTATTCCCAATGAAGATTATTTTGTCTTCTATAAGTTTCCACCGTTGATCAGATTAGTATTGTGGAACGGAGTCTACTGGAATTTATCGATGAGGAACTATTTAAAAAGATTTGAATTTGGGATCTTTAGATTCAAGACTAGTATTCTTATCACTAGATTAATCTCTTGTTGGTTAGGTACTTGCAATTTTAATACTTCAATGTGTATGGTCTTATGTCTAATTCAATGGTGGAACTAAGTTGAAGACAAAAGAAAATGTAGTTCCTACTTTAATAACACCATTGTTATGAGAACCGAACCGGATCAACGGTTGGGTCAATAGAACCTTCAAACCAATTACAATAGCGGTCAGGTTCATTGTTTGAACGGTTATTGATGGACCAAACGGTTTTCACGGTTCAACATAAAATCAAATGAACCAACACGGTTTAACTGTTCCACTAGTTCACTAATTTAAAAAAAAATGCTTTAAAATAGAATAAGACCGTCAAATCATAATTGTCAATTTTATGTATGCTTCCTCAACTTTGTTGTCAACTTTGTTGTCAACTTTACGTTGTCTACTACCGACTAGAACCGTACTTTTTAATTTGAATTAAAAAAAAAGAGGTTTCTTTTGTGAGATGGTTGAAATAATTTATTAGATATTTTGGTGATGATATGAATTTGAACTTGTTTATGATTAATGATAACTTCATTATTTAGTTAGTGTAATATACAAGTCTTATATGTTATATATCATGGACGGTTCTATCAATGGTTCACCAACGATTTTTTAACGGTTAATCGTTGAACCCTAAACCATTAACTTTTCTGGTTCAGCCTCCGGTTCGGTTATAGAATAACACAGAGATAATATATAGAAACACGCTACGGACATTAATATATAATATTTACTCTCGCTCCCTCCCTGAGGCTGAGACCCAGATGTAAGCATACATGGACTGATGCCTTGTAGCATTATATTATCTACGTACTACACTACAATAACCAACAATCCCTTTTATTCTCTTCGCAATACATGCAACTTCACTTAATTAGCTAACTTAATTGGGCACATCAATCGGCTGCCTTCCTCGATCACTATACCTTCTCCTTACTTGACCCTGTAAGTACGATATTCATGAATAAATAAAAATACACAACAAATAACCGTCACAAAAAATTTACATTAAAATATAGACTTCAATTCAGAGATAACAGACCAAAAAAATTCCACTCACTTGTTGCAATCGACGGATGGGTTGATCGGGAAGCCGACGCTGACGCCGCACTTGCCCGGAATGCCGGCGGCGAGGCCGAAGTTGATACTTTTGGCACTCGCGGCGATATCCTTCAAGCAGCGGCAAGCCTGCTGCCTGTCCGCCGTGGTTCTGGCGGCTGCGTTGATGGACTTGATCCCGCTGCAGCAGCCGGGCGTCAGCGGTCCCTTCCCCATGACGTAACTCAAGCACGATGCCACGCCGGTTCCGACCTGGCCGCAAGTCAAGGCCCCTTCACCCAGCTCCGCGCTCGCCACCGCCATCGCCACCATTAGCGCCATGCAAACCTGCAACTTAGTAGCGGCCATGATCATATATCTTTGAAGGATTGGTTTTCTGAAAGACTGGAGTGCGTACTGCGGCACAACGGGGTTGCGGGTTTTTATAGACGTGAAATTCCATGCGTGTAATGTAAACGAGACAAGTGAGTAGTTAACGGTTGAAGTTAGGCTGGAGTATTAAATAAATTGTGTCGGCACTACACTCTAGAGTATGCTACTAAGATACGTAGCGTAGGCGATTAGGAATGTGGGCTTGTCGTAATAATGGAAGTGTATTATAGGGACCAGTTACGGTAACAACACCCTTGTGTTGTTATTGTAACAACACTAGTCTCCAACCAATAGGAAGTTAAGATTGTGATAACTTTTTATTAGATGAGTTGACCTAGTGTAAAATCAAAGCAGGGGTATAATTGTCATTATGAAAAATCTGTTTAAATAATAAAAAAAATAAAAATAAAAAAATATTTTTTTATTTTCTGCCCAAAAATTTGGTCGCCGGAATTCTGCCACCGGTCGCCGGAAACTGGTCACCGGAATATGCTTTTTGTCGCCGGAATATGCTATTTCTCGCCGAAATATGCTTACCGGTGTCGGAATATGCTTACCGGCGTCGGAATCTAGTCATCGGGGCCGGAATATGCCTATCGGCGTCGGAATCTGCTGGCTGACGGTCACCGGAGTTCGGTCACCGAACTTCGTTGACCGGTCAACGGTCTTGGTTGACCGGTCAACGGTCTTGGTTGACCGGTCAGCGGTCAACGACCACCGGATGTATGGTCTGCATTGTGAGATTTATGGTTTGGTTTCTCATATTTTTGTATGCCTTTTGTGATTTGTTTTATCGTGTTTGTGGTTTGCATTAAGAAGTTTCTGGTTTGCTTTATCGTGTTTGTGGTTTGCATCGAGAAGTTTCTGGTTTGCTTTCAAAAAATTTGTGGTTTGCTTTGCGGGATTTATGGTTTGTTTTAATATATTTGTGGTCTGCATTAGGACGTTTCTGGTTTGTTTTTGTGGTTTGATTTACTGTGTTTGTGGTTTGCATTAGGAGGTTTCTGGTGTGTTTTTTAAAATTTTGTGGTTTGCTTTGCGGGGTTTCTGGTTTGTTTTAGTAGAATTTTGGTATGCATTAGGACGTTTCTAGTTTGTTTTTGTGGTTTGCTTTATCGTGTTTGTGGTTTGCATTATGAGATTTCTGGTGTGCTTTTGCAAATATTGTGGTTTGCTTTGTGAGGTTTGTGGTTTGTTTTATGAGATTTGTGGTATGCATTAGGAGGTTTATGGTTTGCATTAAGAAGTTTCTGGTGTGCTTTCGAAACTTTTGTGGTTTGCTTTGCGAGATTTATGGTTTGTTTTAATATATTTGTGGTCTGCATTAGGACGTTTTTGGTTTGCTTTACCATGTTTGTGGTTTGCATTAGGGGGTTTCTGGTGTGCTTTTCAAAATATTTATGGTTTGGTTTGTGGGGTTTATGATATTTTTTAGCGAACTTGTGGTTTGCATTAGGAAGTTTCCAGTATGTTTTTTGTGGGTTGTTTTATTGCGTTTGTGGTTTGCACTAGGTAGGGAGTTTTTGGTGTTAAAAATATTTGTTATTAGAATTACTAAACACCAATATAGAATTTCTGATATAGAGTTTCACTTGACACCTACCCATGGCTTAATCTAATTACACACATAGCTCTCTCTCTCTCTCTCTCTATCTAGGCCATCGTTTCTGATTTTCCATGATGAGAAGAATCATGGGCAATTCTCATCATTTTTAGCCCCCCGAGAAATCTCCATCATCTGGTAATGGGTCGATCCAAGTCCAACCTTAGCCGTAAAATCCACGTCGGTTGTCCGTTCTCCGCCACTGCATTCTCCGGGTGTGGAACCAAATTCTCATGTGCTCCATAGGAATGCGGATTAGGTACCGAATGTTGTCTCATCCCGCCGTTGTTCCCTCCGTCTCCTTGCCTATTTCCTCTGCTGGTGGCGGCGTAATGGAGGAGGTGGCCCTCGTCAATTGTCCCCCGCCTTCCGCGGCGGCGATTCTTCACAACTACAACAACAACGTCCACCGGGTCGATTCGGATTTGGTGACCTTAAAGATTAACCTCTTGGCTCTTGGGTGATAGCCAGATTGGGAAAACAAGCTTTTTGGTACCCAATTTTCTTCTTCTCGTGATTTTCATGCTATCAATTCTATTGTTCATCGCACAACAGATTATAGTGGCTCAGTCTCTGTCTCTTTCCCCCTGATTTGGGTCTCATGATTTGAAGGCCAAGTAAGTCGGCGACGAGACGGATGAAGGAGTGAGAATCGAAGGATCAGGAGATGGGATTCATTTGATGGGCAAAATATTGCAAGTCGGTGGCGCTCGGATTTCCTACCGTCTGCAGTCGCCCTTCTCGATTCCGCTTCCGGCTACTCAATCTCTTACCAAGACCTCTTCCCCCTCGTAAAATCCACGGCCTCAGCTCTCCACAAATTGGGCATCCGCCACGGCGATGTCGTCTTGCTCGTCCTCCCCAATTCAATTTGCTTCCCCGTCGTCTTCCTCGCCGTCCTATACGCCGGCGCCGTCGTCACCACCATGAACCCTCTCGCGACCGTCGTGGAGATCCAGTAGCGCATTGCCGATTGCGGCGTCCGTTTGGGACTCGCTGCGCCGGAGAGAACAGAGCGGAAGGAAAAGCACATACATAAGGGCTAATTTTTATTGTAAATTTCCAATTTTGCCCTTAATGAATTATGTTGTTACGGTAACAACAGATAGGGTGTTGTTATTCTATCCTATCCCTTCAGATTGGGCGTCTCTGAAGCATAACAACTTTTGGCTCTTCAGGAAAAGATCCCAAACGTACAAGTTTGGCGAAAGATCTAGAGCAGGAAGAAACCCTTCTGAAGCAATGTGTTGAGAAACTTAAATCCGTTGAAGCTAGTAGAGCTTCCCTTGTCTCTCAGTTGAGGGATGCTCTAAATGACCAGGTCGGGAGAACTCTTTAATATGACTTACTTATCTGCTGTGATGGATCTATTAACTTTCTGTGCATGTTTAAAAAAGTTTGTGCCATCTAGATGCTCAGATTTTGCTTTTCTCATCTTGTTCGTTCAGGAATCTCAGTTGGAAGTTGTGCGAACTCAGATGCAGGTATGTAACTGGTTGCCTATTTTAAAAATTGGTTCTTTGGGTGTGTTTGTTTCGGCGTAAAGAGAATTTACTCGAGAATATAAGGCCTTAAATGCTGAAGCAAATACACTTCTTCGAGAAATACACCCTTTATAACCTTGTTTCTGTTTAACATGGTGGTACTTGTGTTGATTGGAAAACTGAGGGTTATTTATCGAGAAATGAGTTGTTTCCGGTTGTCGATCTCCAGGTAGCTCAGGCTCAGGTGGAGGAGGTCAACATTAATTATGATAAAGCGGCTCAACGATGAAGACTATGTGCCCAAAGCCACAACTGCAACACAAACAGAAGCAGATACAAATGGCAAAGCAGGACACACGCCAAAGAAAACTGCAGCAGCTATTGCTGCCGAGGTTGCAGATAAGCTTGCAGCCTCGAGCTCCTCCGTTCTGTCTTCATTTGCGGCGGAAGCAGCAAAGACTGGAGCTTTGAAATCAACCCCCGTTAGCTCTTCTGCCAATGATTCTGTGCCAGACCCCGCCATGTTCATGTCAGCACAGCAACCCCTTTCTGCTGCTCCTTGGAACCATCCATACCATACTATGCAGAATCAGATACCGAGCTCTCAGCCTCAGTTCCACATGATGCAGAATCCTTCTTCTCAGCAGTACTTGCAGCCTCCTGGCGGGATTGTTACTCCCTACGGATATGGTAGCATTAGTTCCTTGCCATCAGGACCACCGCCTCCACCTCCTCCCTATATGATTAATCCCATGGCGCCTATATATGGCTCAGCAACCACCATCGCAAGTTCCAATAACCCAACAGCAGCAAATGACATTAACTCAGCAGCAAGCTGCTGGTGGTCCTCCTGGGTTTAGACCCTTGCAGCCGCCTGGAATGGTGTATTATGGGCATCATCCATCATCCCATTCTCAGTGATGATAATAAGGTCATTGGTTTTAGGTGTGTTGATTGTATAATTTATCTTATCTTGCGGCCCTGTTGTCTTTTGTAACCGAGAAATTATATTTCTTGGTAGTGAGTTAGTGCTGCTGACATTAGAACATCTGACGACGATTGATCAACATTTCTTTTTACATAGCTACCAGACCAGTAGTAGGGAAGTGTTAGTGATTCAAAGTGGAGGTGGAAAATGAATCGAGCTGGCGAGTTCAATGGTTTGTAACAAATAGGTTGGGTTCGTGTTTGGTTTAAAATGTGTTGGTGGATTTATCGTTTGGATTAAATAGGTAAAGCTTGATTCTCAAGCAGGAAGAGAAGTTTTGTGGCAAATTAGATTCTCAAGCCAAGCGTGAAGATAAGGATTACTACACGAGTCAAAACAAACAGGGAAGTGAATCCGATTGCACAGTGCAGAGGAATCAATATCAGGGTAGTGCTGCTAAGCTATTCAACAGGCGAAATTCAGTTGATGATAACATCTCTGATACGAAGCGGGAGATGATGCAAGATGGCCATACCGGCCCGACGAGAACCATGCTGGCGGATCCTTTCGGAGTATGGCAGCAGCTACTGTATCTTTCGCGAATTCTTCTACAGTACAGGGGTGGATCCGAGGCTTTGGGAGAAGTATGCCCTCTTCCTGATTGTAGCCTCGAATGGTTTGTACAGTTTCCTCTCGTTAGCTGCCGCGGAGTTCCCGATGTTCGACCTGATGGCTCCTGGAACTACGTTGATCACGTCCGATTCCCAGCGGCTTCAGTTCCAGCCTTTATTTTCCACAGACGAAGTAGCGAAATCAGGTGTTCGTCAAAAATCCACAGCGAACGTCATCTCTGTGATTCGTACCATCTCAAATGCAATCAAGATTTGCAGGAAGAATGACCACTGAATTCAGTCAGCGCATGAATAGCACAGTGGGTATAACTTATTCTCCGCGGAGGAGATACTGCGGCAGCCATTTCTTGATCATGTAGTCAAGATTCCATTCTTTTTTGTCCATGGAAATGGAGTCCAAATGACTCGAGCAAACCAATTGGAGATATATTGTATTTTTAGAATAAAAAAATTCTTTGATGAATTGCGAAGCTAATAACTTTGTAATTCCCGCCTTAAATTCTGCCGGACTCCGAGCAAAGCCATCGGAATCACAGAAGCCAAATATACTCTGTTACCGGCCGGGGAAAATGACGGCAATTACCACCAGCGGAGAGTCACCGCTTCCCATTTCCACTCCTCTCAGTACAAAATCCCTTCACCAATCTTCCCAATTTCGCAGCAAATTCCTCGTCTAAAGAGAAACTTCTCACCGACATCACGCTGAAACCCTAAAATGGACTCCGTCGGGCTACAAGTAGTTCTGATCACCGGATGCTCGCAGGGAGGCATCGGCCACGCCCTGGCCAAACAGTTCGCCGCCAAAAAATGCCTGGTCGTCGCCACGAGCAGGTCCTTGAGCTCGATGCGAGACTTGCAGCAGGGCGCCAGATTCGATCTCCAGGAGCTCGACGTTTCCTCCGAGGAGAGCGTGCAGCGGGTGGTGGCAAGCGTCATCGAGAAGTACGGGAGAGTTGATGTTCTGGTCAACAACGCCGGCGTCCAGTGCGTCGGCCCTATTGCCGAAGTCCCTCTGTCTGCCATGGAGAACACCATCAATACCAATGTTTATGGTAAAAAGTTTGAACCTTTGTTTCCAGTCTTGGATTTTTGATGTGCTTGCTTCAATTGCAGCGGAAAAGTTAAACTGCTCACAGGTTATTTTGTGAGTAGATACTCACTGACCCATGAGCCGAGAGGAGAGAGAAAAGGCCACTTTTTGGGTGAGCCGAGAATTTGGGAGGAGGAAGTGGGCGGGTTTTGGGCGGCCCGAAATTTTGGGCGGGAGGTGGGCAGCTTTTTGGGTGGCCCGAAATTTTGGGCGGGAAGTTGGAGAAGGAAGGAATAATTTGGGTCTGGTGGGGGCGGCCCGAAATTTTGGGCGGGAAGTTGAATATGAAGGAATAATTAGGGTTTGGTGGCTTGCAGCCTAGTAAGGGCTGCCCGCCGAGGGCCCATGGGCCGAAGGCTCATAATATAATTTTTTGGGCCGATATTGACATGACCTGATAGGATATGTTTTTGTAAAAGGACGAATATTGGTATGACATTATGAGATACTAGTCTGGGTTTTACAGATATTTGTTGACATGTGTTGGCATAATATCAATTCCTAATTCCCTTGAGTTTTTTTTACACTCGTTCAGTTATGCATTGTCATTAATAGTTGTCTTGTGCAGGGATGTTTGTAGGTTTTCGTCGTCGATGGTGTTCCTTATGGTTGAGAGATCAATTCGCAGTCGGGATGTTGACTACGCAAGTCAGCGAGTCGTGCAATGCACAAGTGCGACTTTTATTGAAAATGATTTGGACTTGTTTTTCATTCACTTTAGCAGGTACGCAGAATATTTATTTGCCTTTCTTTGATATTAGTCTACTTAAATTTTGGATATTTGTCAGCGTTGTCCGGATATTTATATGCTATTGTTAAATATTACTTTGTTTAGTTGAGATATTAATATTGGTTTAAGTGGATATTAGTCTGGGCACTAAACTCTTTCTCGTGCTTTGTAAATGTAGTTTGTTGGCTGAAAAAAGACGCAATTTTGGATATTTGTCAGCGTTGTCCGGATATTTATATGCTATTGTTAAATATTACTTTGTTTAGTTGAGATATTAATATTGGTTTGAGTGGATATTAGTCTGGGCACTAAACTCTTTCTCGTGCTTTGTAAATGTAGTTTGTTGGCTGAAAAAAGACGCAATTTTGGATATTTGTCAGCGTTGTCCGGATATTTATATGCTATTGTTAAATATTACTTTGTTTAGTTGAGATATTAATATTGGTTTGAGTGGATATTAGTCTGGGCACTAAACTCTTTCTCGTGCTTTGTAAATGTAGTTTGTTGGCTGAAAAATGACGCAAGGAGACTGAGTCAGACTACAATGGGAAACAATCGGTTCCTTATATTATGATGGAGGATAGCCCGTTCCTACAACATGCGGCAAAGGTCTTTACTCCTAACATCTTCAATCGGATACAAAATCAGTATTTGAAAACTGAACCCTATCTAAAGGTCTTTACTCCTTGTGCACGTACTTGCACTGCGACTTCAGCATCTTCTTCTTCCTCATCCTCCTCTGGCTGTGGCGGTGGTGACGACGATGTCTCTTCACGTTCGTTTTATCCCTGCACGTACAAATATCTAGATATATCAAACAATTATCCAAGCAATTCACAACAGATATCATGCTGGTTAAAAACCAATATCCAGATATATCAAACAATTATCCAGGGAAATCACAACTGATATCATGCTGACCAAAAACCAATATCCAGATATATCAAACAATTATCCAAGCAATTCACAACAGATATCATGCTGGTTAAAAACCAATATCCAGATATATCAAACAATTATCCAGGGAAATCACAACTGATATCATGCTGGTTAAAAACCAATATCCAGATATATCAAACAATTATCCAGGGAAATCACAACTGATATCATGCTGACCAAAAACCAATATCCAGATATATCAAACAATTATCCAAGCAATTCACAACAGATATCATGTTGGTTAAAAACCAATATCCAGATATATCAAACAATTATCCAGGGAAATCACAACTGATATCATGCTGACCAAAAACCAATATCTAGATATATCAAACAATTATCCAAGCAATTCACAACTGATATCATGCTGGTTAAAAATCAATATCCAGATATATCAAACAATTATCCAGGGAAATCACAACTGATATCATGCTGACCAAAAACCAATATCCAGATATATCAAACAATTATCCAGGCAAGTCACAACTGATCAGTCACAAATGATATCATGCTGATCAAAAACCAATATTCAGATATATCAAACAATTATCCAGGCAAGTTACAAATGATATCATGCTGATAAAAACCAATATCCAGATATATCAAACAATTATCCAGGCAAGTCAGAACTCATATCATGTTGATTAAAAACCAATATCCAGATATATCAATATCCATAATCAAAATAAATAATATCGGAACGCACACAAAACAGATTATAACATGTATAAGAGATTTAGAGTGCACCATTGATAAATCTCTGCACATACAAATACCCAGATCTGAACAAAGTATAAGACTAAGACAGTTACCTTAGTCCAAATCCCGCCGAAATCCCGCCCTTCGTCGCCGCCGAAATCCCGCTTCGGTCGCCGCCGGTTCGCTCGCCGCCGCAGGAACTCGCCGCCGCACCGCTCGTCGCCACTTCGCTCGCCGCCGCTTCGCTTTGTTCTTCGTCGGTTTCGTGAGAGGAGGAAAGTGAGAGAGAGGGGAAGTGAGAGAGAGGGGAAGTCGAAGTGGGGGAGAGAGGGGAACTGAATTAGGGGAGAGAGGGGAACAGTTTTTGATTTTTGAATTGTGGGCCCGGTGGGCTCGACCAGCCGACCCAAACCGGCTCACCTTCCTCTACCCAAACCCGGCGCCATCTTATCCTCGCCCACGTCGAAGTGGGGGAGAGAGGGGAACTGAATTAGGGGAGAGAGGGGAACAGTTTTTGATTTTTGAATTGTGGGCCCGGTGGGCTCGACCAGCCGACCCAAACCGGCTCACCTTCCTCTACCCAAACCCGGCGCCATCTTACCCTCGCCCACGTGGACAACAGATCCACCGTGTGAGTATCTACTCACACTTTATGCTGTGAGCAGCATAACTAGATTGTCGTCGTCAAATTTCCGGGACTTGAACCCGGGTCTTTCGGGTGAGAGCCAAATATCCTGACCAACTAGACTACAACGGATTGGTGCTATTATTTCGTAATATACATTTATTATTGTTTTTTTTATTCTGGGAGGTTCAGTCGTCCATCAATCGAAATGGGACGGGGTACAGCTTAGAAGGCAGAAGAGTAAATGATGCTTTGTGCAACAAGTTTTATTTTGATCATCAACAGTTAGAAACAAAGTAACAATCTGAGGCTCTCAACAACAGAAACACAACTAGGCAACGACTAAGACTTCGAGAGCTTTTTGAACAACTCTCGTTCTATGGAAAGATGCCTATGACTCGAGACTAAACATTCAGTAAACAAGTAAAGCTCTCAAGGACACCTTGGGGGATGATAGAAGTGACAGCAGCCGTGCGGATTGTATCTTCAAGATGCAGCTTGATATTCCCTAAAATCAACAGTGCTCTGTAATGAAAGAGATTTGCAGGTTCACGTTCTCGATTTCTTCCAATCACCTTCACAGCTTTGACATAGAATAGTCCAATGCGTCGACGAGGAAGTCTATGCATACACAAAAAGGGGGAGAAAACAGTCATTGCATGCAAGGCTTTGATATTGGTCATATAGACATGAATCAGTGATCAGGTTGTCAGTCTTGTTAGATAGAGAGAGAGAGAGAGAGAGGAAGGGAATTACCAGCATCATCTTTGGAGAAACACATAGGTGGTTTTATTCGAAAGACGTTTCCGTGGAGCCCTCCTTTCCCAACTAGAATACCGAGCTCTGCAGATGGCTGGGATAAATGATGAGTAGCTAATAAACCAGATTGAAGAGAACTACTAGCAATGTGCTCTATTAGTTTACCTCGGAGCTGCTCGAATAAGACTGCTGTTTCAGCTTTGGCAGGGGTCTTCTCCTTCCTGTCAGTCACTAGCTCTACACCCACCATCAACCCTCTGCCTCTAACATCTCCAATGACTGAAACCAAATTGGACATTTAACTACAAGATTCATTCATCCCTTAACGACCAAGAATCCATTACCAAAGGTAAGGAAGAAATAAGAAGTTTCATCTTATTCTCAGAATATCTAAATGTATCAATTCATATTTGCCTGCTTGGCCATTTATGCAGCAAATGGAAGACCAACGGCTAGATGAGAGCTTCTCATGGAGCTTTTCTCATGGATTAATACCCTAGGGATATCAGGAGGAGATGTTACAAGCCAAGCAGACACTTTTCATAACGTTGTATGTGGTTTGGTTATAGAGCCACCATCGGCTGTGCATTAGCAAAACATCTGATATGCAAGCACAGAATTTAATCTTCACATGGGATGAAAGTAAAGTTGGAAAGAAAATTACTTTCATATTTTTCCTTTAGATCTCTCAAACGTCCAATTAGGTGAGTGCCAACTTGGGCTAAATGTTGTTGACGCTTCTCTTTGTCAAGAACTCTCAAGACAGCAAGTCCACCAGCAGAGCAAACCGGGTTGCCACCAAAAGTGTTGAACTGGATTTTCTGAGACATCACACTAGCTATTTCTGGTGTTGTCACCACTGCTCCTAGTGCTAAACCATTGCCAATGCCCTGAGATGAATTACACGGTAAAAAAAATAGGGCACCATTGAAAGAACAGCGCTGACAATTTAGTGAAGAATCTCTTTTGAATTTGGTTACCTTTGCCATTGTAACTATGTCAGGGATGACACCTTGTGTTTCGAATCCCCAATAGTGGCTTCCTGTTCGTCCAAACCCGGTTTGAACTTCATCAGCAATACATACCCCTCCAGCCGCGCGTTGACCGCGGTCGGGCCACGGGCGAATCGCCTTGCTGTCGTTACCTTCTCCGGGACGATGCGAGCGACGACGGCGACGGGCGGGGACGACGCGAGCGGGATCGGCGAGATCCTTCGGCGGCGGCGAATGGACGCGGGCGGCGAGAGAGGAGTTGGCGGCTGCGACTGGACGCGGGCGGCGAGAGAGGAGTCGGCGGCGGCGACTGGACGCGGGCGGGAGTCGCGCGGCGGCGAGAGAGGAGTCTTCTCCGGCGGCGGCGGGAGATTGCAGAGGGCAGAGGCGATAGGTCGGCCGTCGGTCGCGGTGAGAGGAGGGTCGGCCGTCGGTCGCGGGTGGAGGAGGCGTCGGGCGGTGCGGTCGGCGTCGGCGGAATTGAGAGGAGGTCGGCCGGTGAGGGGAGAGTCGCGGGTGAGAGGAGGGTCGCGGGTGAGTTTTTTTTTTTTTTTTTTTTGAAAGGGCGGCTGAGAGAGTTGAGGGGGGAGGGATTTGAATTTGAATCCCTAAGGGCTTGTTTGTTTAAGCCTATTTTGAGTTTTTGTTTAAGGGTATGTGAGTAATTTTACATTTAAGTTAGGGCGATGTTTAGCAATTATTAGGGCGACATTTTTTGTTTAAGGGTATGGATCGGGGTTCATGACATGATGGATTTCACCCTGCAGCAAGATGATCATTTAACTACTAAGCAACTATCAAATTATAGAGCTTGGAATTAAAGCTGAAGCGTTCAGAAGTTCTAGCTGAAACTACCTGTGGTATGGGGTACTTCCATGTGTTCAGAGCCGTAAGGCCAATAGTATTCGAGCTTCCACCATGATAACCATTTCTTAAAGATATCATTTCAAGATTACCAGTGTACAACCTAGCCATCATCATCGCCAGTTCATTTGCCTCGGACCCAGAATTCACAAAATACACAACCTGAATGCAGCCATTACAAAATCAATTTCACAGCAAAGCCAAAACCATCATCACTCTAACTACTACATATCAACTAGTTAATCAAAACCCATTTGCAGGAACCACAATCAGACCATAACCATTCAGAGAAATTAATGAGAAAGTAAAGAACCTTAAGGTTGCCGGGCATCTTCTCCGCCAAACCCTCGGCAAAATCAGCAATCGCGTGGTGCAGGTAAATGATGGTCGCATGCTGCAGAAGCTCACTCTGCTCAACAATGTCTTTCAAAATCTCCGGGTGGCAATGGCCAGCAGAAACAGTCACGATCCCGGCGAAAGCATCCAAATAGCGCTTCCCATTCTCATCAAACAGATATTGCATCTTGCCCTCCACTATATTCAACTAGAGAAAAAGATACAAAGAAACAAACAAGCAATCCACTCAGCAAAAACCCAACGAGGGGGGAAATAGGAAAAATCGAGATGATTTTTGGACGAGACCTTACAGGTTTCTGATAGTAGTAGAACAGAGAAGGACCCAGATAAGTCTTGCGCTTCTGGAGCACTTCCTCGGCGGAAGGACCCTTGTAGGGCTTGGGCCGGTGATCGAACGGCGGGAGCTGCGGCGGCGCGTCGGCGGTGGCCGCGGAAAGGGAAGGAGACGCGGTGGAAAAGCAGCGGCCGCCGGCGCGAGCGAGTTGTGCGAAGCTGTTTCGTTTGGCATTTTGCAAAGTAGCCCTGATGATTTGCCTGCGGAACGCCATTGTTTGACGTCGAGATTCGAACGGAGAGAGAGAGAGTGTGTGTGTGGAGAAGTGGGGGAGAGTTGGTGGAGATTATGGAGAAAGGGATAGGGATTGAGCGTGGCAGCACGAAGGGAAGTAGTTAGTTCGGAGAAATGATAGAGTGAGCTGACATGGAACGAAAATGGCGTCTTCGAAAAGGTTAAGACGATGGAAACAAGCAAACGTTACGTTTTCTGATTCTCCTCGGCCCTCGCTTTGTAACCGAGCGATAAAAAAGATCCCCCCATCAACTTTCCTTTTTTCTTCAAAAAAAAAACTTTCTTTTTCATACCCGTTTTAATTGAGAACTCTAACCCCCTGTTTTCGAAGTAGGAAAGGAAAAGGAGGGGAGGGGAGGGGAGGGAAAACTTGGATGGAAGGAAAATTGGAGGGGAAAGGAATTGGAGAGAAAATGTTGTTTTATGGGGGAAAGGGAAAGGGATAGTGAGAGAGAAAAAGTAGGGAGTTGCTAAAGGTCGCCCTTAAAATTGCTAAAGGTCGCCCTAAAAAGAATAAAAGTTACACTTTTAACCCCCATAGCTTCTTTACCTTCCCTTCCTCAAACAAACATCACTTGGACTAAAAAAACACTCTCTAAGGAGAGAAAAATCTCTCATCGTCATTTTGAAGCCGATATCGTCGATAGGACGTCTGAATCATGAGTAGCGACTCCGACGAGGTAAGAACATGAACCAAAAAAAAAAAAACACAGAAAATGGGAACCGCGGGTGATTTGCGGTTGAGCCATTGGTGGACCGCAATTGACCTGCGGTTGGACCATGGTCGGACCGCAAATCACCTGCGGTTCAGCCATGGTCCAACCGCAGGTCAATTTCGGTCCACCAATGGCTCAACCACAGGTGATTTGCGGTCCGACCATGGTCAAACCGCAGGTCACTTGCGGTTGGGCATTTTTTGGTTTTTTTTTTTTTTCGTTGAATAATTTTTTATTTTTTATATGATTTATGATTGTTCCATGAAATAATTTGTTGGGTTTTGATTTATATAATTTATTAGATTTATTTGCATAATTATTTTTGGAATTGAAGGATTTAGCATTAGAAATTAAGATTAGATTTTTGGAATTGAAGGATTTAGCATTAGAAATTAAGATTAGATTTGGCCTTAAATTGAGATTAGATTTAATTTGGTGTTAATCTAGAAAATTAAGATTAGATTTTGCATTACAAATTAAGATTAATATAATTTATTAGATTTATTGGGTTTTGATTAGATTTTTGGAATTGAAGGATTTAGCATTAGAAATTAAGATTAGATTTGGCCTTAAATTAAGATTAGATTTAATTTGGTGTTAATCTAGAAAATTAAGATTAGATTTTGCATTACAAATTAAGATTAAATTTATTGCATAAATAATAGATTCGCATATGAAGTTATGATGATTATTAATTTTAATACTGATAACATTGCAGGATATTGGAAGTTACAATCCGGATGGCCATGATTACACCTCGGATTTCATTGATGGCGTGAAATACACTACGGAGTTGCAAGCATATGAAGCAGCCATTGAGATTGCAAAGGGTTTTGGGTTTTATTTGGTGAGGGCATCGAACAAAAAAAATACGAATGAAGGTACTTGGCGACATTACTTACATTGCACTCATGGTAGGAAGAAGAAGTCGAAGGAACCTGATCCGAGTAAGGAAACGAGGCCTCTTACATCTACTGAAAAGTTGGGGTGCGAGTTTAAGATCAAGCTTGAGCGGTCAGGTGATGGATATTGGTTGATCCTAGGGGTGGCAAATACAAAGAATCCTGGTGCTAATTTGGGTTTCCACAATCATCAGTTGGAGCTATTTCCGGAGGGATCAAAGGGAAGGAATGTTTTGACTACAGAGGACAAGCAATACATCAGAGAGCTGAGATCAGCCGGTGTCCCACCAAGGAATATCCACAAGGCAGTGAATGACAGAAAAGGTGCAAATGGAACACACAACAGAAAGCAGATTTATAACGAGTGTCACAAGATAAGGAAAGAAGAGCTTGGTCAGATGACAGCCTTACAGTATACTTTCCGCATGGCGCAGGAGAAGGGTTACTATGTGCAGTATATGGACGATCGTAACGTGCTTACACACTTGTTCCTAGCCCACCCCGAGTCAATATTGATGTTGCGAGCTTGGCACCATGTGATCGTGATAGATGCAACATACAAGACCAACAAGTATGATATGCCTTGGGTTGAGATTGTCGGCATGACACCAGTGGGATTGAACTTTGTCATTGCATCTGCAATAGTGTACGACGAGACGAAGGAGTCGTACCAGTGGCTTCTGACGCATTTGCAACATCTTCTTGGCCCCATTGTTCCAGATGTGTTTGTCAGTGACAAGGCAGGAGGATTGGTTGAGACCGTGGGGGTAATGTTTCCATCATCGACTCATATTTTATGTCTTTGGCATATGGATAGGAATGTGAGAGCAAAGTGTCTAACGGAGGTGCGAAGGACGACTCATTGTGGTATAGATGCAGCCAAACCGACAGTGGAGCAGATCATGGCGTCTTGGCAACGTGCTGTATATGCATTGACAGTGGAAGACATGGATACTGCCTTAGAGAATTTCAGACGTAGTTGGGGAGTACAGTACCGACGTCTTTGGGGGTATATGACAGCTGAGTGGTTACCAGTTAGACACATGTGGGCTAAATGTTATACCAATCAACTGCGGCATTTGGGTAACACAAGCTCTAATAGGGTTGAAGCTGCCCATTCCTCCTTCAAGAAGTGGCTTCAATCATCTACTGGCGCAGTCGACACGGTTAGTAATCTAATAAATCTTTATTGATACACACATAAGTTTTAGTAGTCTCCTAATTGTTCTTCATTGTTTGTAGGTATACAAGATGAACGATGATTACATTGAGGCTCAACACCTTCAAATCAGGAAGCTGCTGGAGGATTCCCGACAAAAGAAGCTGCTCCGAGCGGATGGAAAACCATTTCGAGAGTTGAATACGAAAGTCACTCTAGAAGCTCTGAGGTTGATGTTGTTCGAGGTAGCAGTGGAAGGGGAACCTTGTACATGTACGTTTCTTCCTACCTATGGTCTCCCATGTAGATGTTCCATTCAGTTAGCACGACGTGAAAATCGGGATTTCGCCTTGTATGATGTGTTGCCATTCTGGACCGTTATCAACTATCGTGAACCTCCTACTCGGCCGGAGTGGGATGACCATAGTGATTACCACCATGGTGTGTTCCAAGGTCTAGTACAGGAGGTTCTTGATAGAGGCGACGAGACCATTCGAGGTGCAATCGGCCTACTCCGGAGCCATCTTCATCCTGAAAATGATGGCATTGATGAACCGCATGGGGGACAGCCCCGCCCCGGTCGCCCAAGGACGTTCCACGTAATTGGATCAAATACATTATTCCTTGTTAATTTTATTCATTATTAAAAAACAAAAATAGATGTTTTGACCATGATCCGGTGAGAAAAACATTTGTCACCATTATATAATGATACACAAAGATATCATACAAATAAAAGTAGATAGTTAGCCATAAATATTATTCCTTCGTGTATCGCCAGTTGGACCGTAAAAATCGTCTACTGTCATCTAAATCTGTAGTGTACATAATATCATGTTAGAAGTTTACGTAGTTAAGTAAGCAAACTAAAATAATACACACGGACTTCACTAATTTAATTATCGTCCTTCAAAATTAGTCGAAGATTATCTCTTCAACCCTAAAAACAATGAATTAGTAATTATCGCATCTCCTAATATTTCTCCACGTTAAATGCAATATATGTGCTGATAAAATATAAATTAACAATTTTTGTCATTTATTTCACTGCTATCACACATCCCTACACAAATACAACTTAAACGAAAAGGGTTAAAGACACATTTGGTCACTGAAATTACAAAATAGGGACATGTTTGGTCACTAGAAAAAGTTAATATCAAATTTGGTCACTACAATTACTAAAACTGGACGCATTTAGTCACTCGCTGTTAGTCTCCGTCCAACTCCGTTAATGAAGTCCGTTAAGTGCTGATGTGGCAAACAGAATTGCCTAATCAGCCGGATATAACCCAACAAAAATAAAACCCGACCCGCCACGTCATTATAACCCGCCACCTCATTAAAACCAACCCAACCCAACTCATGACCCAACCCTACCCAACTCTTCTTTCTCCTTCCTCCCCAACCCAATTTAGGGTTTTCCCCATCCCATCCAAATTCGCTGAGTGGGGAGAAGATCTCTCCGCCATTAATCTTTTCCCCGTTGTTGTTGTTGTTCAAATCCTCCTCCGCGGCGAAGACGGAGAACTTGGCGGCGCGCTCAATCAAGGCGACGTTGGTCGGGAAGGTGAGCAAGCCGGCATTGAAGTGCTGCGGCGGTTGGTACTGCTGCGGCTGGGAAGAATCGGGTCGGGTCGACTCAGGGGAGTGGAGCAGCTCCACGGCCTGATTGGGCGGCAATTCGAGAAGCGCGGTGAAGGAGCTGGCGTTCTCCGTCGGCACGGAGATTAGGTACCGGATATCCTCGCCGAACTGGACGGAATCGAGAGCCGTCTCGTCGGCGGTCGGGATGGATCTAGTTCCGGGTCCTGATAGCGGCTCCATTAATCCAATTAGTCAACTCTACTGTGGAGAGAAAAAAAATCCCTCCCGTTCCACTCCACGTTCAACTAGCAATTCAGGTTAAGGCAAAAACAGCACCACCAGGCATCAGCTAGCTCTCCTCTTTAAACAGCTTACGGACGCCGGCCGGTGTTCGCCGGCGACAGAGTTACGAGTTATCTTCTGTGGCTGTGAAGGAGATTGGGAGGAAGATGAAGTGAGCCCAATCGGGGAGGAAGGAGAAAGAAGGGTTGGGTAGGGTTGGGTCATGAGTTGGGTTGGATTGGTTATAATGACGTGGCGGGTTATAATGACGTGGCGGGTCGGGTTTTATTTTTGTTGGGTTATATCCGGCTGATTAGGCAATTCTGTTTGCCACATCAGCACTTAACGGACTTCATTAACGGAGTTGGACGGAGACTAACGGCGAGTGACTAAATGCGTCCAGTTTTAGTAATTGTTGTGAACAAATTTGATATTAACTTTTTCTAGTGACTAAACATGTCCCGATTTTGTAATCTCAGTG